CATCTAACAGTCTCTCTATGTGGCTGACCTGCCACAGTGGCTCATAGAAGCTGTAGCCCGGCCAGTTTTGTTCCATAAAAAGTTTTTATATTTTGATTTTTTATCCCAACTTGGGATTAAAAACAAATATTGAAATATTGGTATTTCCTGCAGGACAGAAGTTCTGGTTTTTGATCAGCTCTGCATACAACTGCTTCATCTAGTGATCTATTCACTTTCAATCTGATTTTGTATTAATATTATTTCTAATTATTTAGTATTTGACTGAATCTACATATTAGATACTCAATAGTTTTGAGACCAGAATATTGATGAGGATGGTGAAAGAATAAGCAGCTTGACTCTCAGATCCCACTTGCAGAGCTGGCAACTGGGAAAAAAAATCTGTACACTGAGTGCATTAGAGCTAGACATTAGAGAGGGACAATGAACACGGAAGGGTAGAGAATCTCTTTTCTAACCATAACTGCTTTCTGAGCTAGAAGATAAGGCCTGAGTTTCTAGCAGTCAGAAGTCTCATTAGGTGGAAGGTGAGAACAGGGTTGCCACCCAACCCAAATTTTCCAGGCTTGCTTCTGGCTTTGTGGGTCCTTCTTCTGGCCTGAAAAACCAGTTAACAAATAGCCTGAATGTCCAGGCATAATCATGACCCCACCTGACAAGGTCACCAAGTTGCCATGCAATGAAGACTGACTCTCTTTTGTCCATTAGGAGCCTTTCCCAAAGATGAGAGCCCTAGCCGTCCGAGTAACTTCATCCTTCCTACATAAATTCTCCCTGGGGTTTCAATAGGGTATAATTTACTTCTTCACTTCCTGTCCTAAACTACTGAGTAGTGTTACTGCGCATTAATACACTGACATGTTCCACTCCAGAAGTGGCCATTTAATAGCAGGGCCCAAAATGATCCCTGTAGCTCTAGAGTTCATAAAGCACTTTGGGATTTTGTCAGGCTGACAAGGGCCATATTTACTTCCAGTTACAGTCTCTGACTGTGTCATGTGACAGTGGGGAGCATTCGCATTTCCTTGCTCCCAGCTTCAGGGTCTCTGCAGACAAAGTCACTGCCCACGGCTCTCAAGGGGAGCCCTGCTCTTTGGCTCCAGAGTGTGTTTTGCTACACCAGTCTCTCTCTGCTATCTAGCTCTTCCCTCGCTCTGGGGAGCAGTGGGACTGGCACCTCAGGGCCAGGACAGAACACCCAGGGCAGCAGGACCCTCATTGGTTCTTCATTAAGCAGGCTATTTTGCTTCTCTTGGGTGTTTCAGGAGGCCCATCTCACAGATTATGACTCTATCCAGGAGGCCCCATGCACAAGTCCTTACATCTGTAGCCAGTGCAAGCTATGCATTCACCAGGTAATCTACCTGACCCTGCAGGTATACTGAGCGCTATCCTGGGCTTCTCTAGCTTCGGGTGAGGGCCTGTCTCCTTAAAAGCCTCTTTGCAAACTGCAGTCACCTCTGCCCGCTGTCTGAATCTGACCCTATTGCCAATGCTGAGATCAGCACTCCCCAATTGTGGCTAACACTGCTTGGCTCTCGCTTGAGCCCTGGGGCTATCACAGACTTGCCCCCAACATCCTTCCTCCTTACATTTCCTGCATGGGCTTCCAGACCCAGCAGACCTCAGCGGCTCAGTGTTCTCCTATGCCGCATCTGTAGAGCCCTACCAAATTTACAGCCATGAAAAAAACGCATCATGGACCATGAAGTCTGGTCTCCTCCCATGAAATCAGGTCTTTTGTGGGCTATTACCCTATACTATACAGATTTCACAGGGAGGACCAGCATTTCTCAAATTGGAGGTCCTGACCCAAAAGGGAGTTGCAGGGGGGCTACAAGGTTATTTTAGGGGGGGTTGCAGAATTGCCACCCTTACTTCTGTGCTGCCTTCAGAGCTGGGTGGCTGGAGAGTGGTGGCTGCTGACTGAGGGCCCAGCTCTGGAAGCAGCAGCGCAGAAGTAAAGGTGGCAATACCATACCATGCCATCTTTACTTCTGCGCTGCTGCTGGCGGGGGCTCTGCTTCAGAGCTGGGATCCCGGCCAGCAGCCCCGGCTCTCTGGCTGCCCAGCTCTGAAGGCAGCACCATCGCCAGCAGCAGCACAGAAGTAAGGGTAGCAGAACCATCACCCCCCTACAATAACCTTGCGACCACCCCACAGCTCCCGTTTGGTTCAGGACCCCTACAATTATAACACCATGAAATTTCAGATTTAAATAGCTGAAATAATGAAATTTATTATTTTTAAATTCCTATGGCTGTGAAATTGACCAAAATGGACAGTGCATTTGGTAGGGCCCTACTCATCTGCCACATTTCTGCCCAGAGAACCCCAGGCTCCTAAGAGGGATTTTAATGGGGCTTCCCTGTTCCGCAGGGGATCTCCTTTACTGGTTCTTGCTCCAGCTCCCTTGCTGGGTGATTTCCATTTCCATAGGTTCACTGTGTTGCTTGCCCCTTGTGTTCCAGGGATGAAGCGATTATTCAGCAGTACCTTACTCTGGGTGTAGCCCATGTGTGGGGTAAGGCACTATGTAGCATGCGTAAGGATGGCGGAGTGTGGCTCTTTGGCAACAGCATGCCCACGTGCGTGTTGCATCCCTGTTTGCGATGAAATGCTCATCAGACACCACAGTTATCTGCTTCCTCTTCATGGCAAATGATTTATAAAGGTTTTCAGCTTTGCTCCCCACTGCAGGACTGTGCTGACCTGTCTTCGCGGCTGGCTGTGTGACGGTTCATTGCTGTTCAGCACCTGGGGAGGGGGGTCCTTCCACTCAGCCACCCTATGCCTCAGCAAGCTGAAAGGCTGCACTCTGGCACTTTCCTTGCCTCTTATTTCTGTGGGCTCATAATGCGTCCACACCTGATGCCATGTGACAGTGGCAGCACCTCACAGAGAGAGTCACT